TCTTCTTCTTCTTCTTCTTCTTCTTCTTCTTCTTCTTCTTCTTCTTCTTCTTCCACCCTTTCACACTGAGAAAACGAAACCCTATTGCACCTGACGCTTTCACCAGACAGACAGTCCACCTCAGGCCATTGACCGCAAAAACACGTCTGTAACGCAAGTCACCTTATTCTCGCATGATTCCTAATGACATTCACAACGTTTTTGACTATACTTAACCCGGAGACACTTCAGTGTTGACCTGCTATTTCTAAATAATAATAATATTCCTCAGATCACGTTTTTTAGGCATCTGCCAAAAGTAAAACTGTTGGGATTTTATCAGCACTATTTTCGTAAATCTCTGGTGCTGCATTACATTTTTTTATCAAAGTAAAAAAAAACAACTGTGCAGATTAGATCTATATCTACAGGTGCAGAATTTTTTAAATAGCAAGACTAAAACAACGCTGGTGATTACAGTTTGAAAAAAAACAACACACAAACACAACAAAAATCCTGAGAACGTGTCATGGTTTGGCAAAAAATGAAGTGACAGACCGTCTAGCCGTTGTGTCATAAGGACTGAGATTGTAAGGTCAATATCGTTGCCTATCTGTCTGCACACGTAACGTAAAGAGTTTGGTCTACTTTAGAGAGTTGATAGGAAATGTTTTGTTTCTACAAATGTCTCCATTTTCCGTAGTGTTTTTTCCCGAGTGCCGTATCCATTTTTCAGATGTTTTTCTTTTTTCGTCAGTACCATTGATATCCAATTTCCAGAGGGCTTTTCGTTGCCAGTACCATGTCCAATTTCCAGGGGCTTTCTTTTTTCCGCCAGTACCATATCCAATTTCCAGAGGGTTTTTTTCCGTATATCAAAAGTTTTTGTTTTGTTTTTGTTTTTGTTTTTGTTTTGTTTTTTGCTGTGCAACATCCAATTTCCAGAGGGTTTTATTTTTAGCCAGTACCACATCCAATTTCAAGAGCTCCCCCCCCCCCCTTGTACTGTATCCAGTTTCCACGGAGTTTTTACCTTTTTTTATAGCTAGTACCGTATCCATTTTAGCAGCTTTATTTTTGTTTAGGTAATACCGGTCCACATCCAATGTCCTCAGAGATTTTCCTAATTGCAGTCTCCAGGCCGAAGCGACCGGTTGGAAAGTTCCGCCCTGTGTATATTATCGCCTCATGCAGTCACCGTAGGCTCTACACCAGTATTATAATATTACTGGCTCTCGCACATGCGGACCTTGGTCCTTGTACAGGGTTACTTTCAACACTGTAAGGTTGCTTGAAAATCGGGATCTCCGGATTCAACGTCCAAATCCCCAGAAGACACCAAACTTAGACACAAAGTTCCTTCCTGGAATCTCCATTTCCAAGAGCTTAATTCTTTTTTTAAAAAGAAATGTTTAAAGAGTTCTTGCCCTACCAAAAAAGTAATAGTTAATTTCTAAAGCTTATCATACCCCACCCCACCCCCTCCCTCTTCCGTTCTACACACCTTTTTTTCTCCATAAGTCAAGAGTCTTATTTATTAATAGCCTATAAGCTGACTAACTTTCCACTTAGCCTATGACCTGACTTAATTTCCACTGAGCCTATAATATGAATTACTTTCCACTTGGCCTATAAACTGACTAACTGTCTTCTGAAACAGACTTCTGTGTGAAGTTCAGCTCCTCTTAGACTAAACCACGGCTCTCCGTACTTTCTTTAATTTCGTAATTACGAGTTAGATAAACCCGAATCTTGAACGTCAAGAATTATTTGCATAAGATTTTCTTTCTCCAGTAAAAACAAGTGAAAAGACCACCAAAAGAACCTTGCCTCATTGTCCTTGAACTTGAGCACAATCCTTGGCCAGCCAGCATAGCACCAGAGGCCAGAGACCTTCGGGTTATTCCATGAGATGCCTTGCAACAAACTAATAATAGCATTTTATTAAATAACATGTATTGTAAAGCGGATTTGCAATCTGGTAAGATTAATTGGATTTTGTTTGATCGGGTCTGTGCAGGAATTCAGACCAGCCAAAGCTCAAAGCGTGAGACAAATTTGAAACTGAGTTGTCAGACCATTTTCAGGTTTAAAAGTCAAATGAGTGTGAGAAAAAAAACAACAAAAGAAAACTGCCAAAAATTGCATAAAACTGTCAAACTCCACTTTGGGCAAAATTGATGTGTTTCCCATGATGTGAAGGTCAACTTATATCGATCATCAGCTTGGGTTGCCTAGCAAGACGTTCGGATATTCACATAAAAACGTGTGATAATAGAACCCATAGACGCCAAAAAAAAAACTGTTGTTGTTGTCGTTGTCGTTGTCGTTGTCGTTGTCGTTGTCGTTGTCGTTATTGTTGTTATTGTTGTTATTGTTGTTGTTGTTGCTGCAGCTGCTGCTGCTGTTGTTGTTGTTGTTGTTGTTGTTTTGTTTTGTTTTTTGTTGCTGCTGTTGTTGTTGTTGTTGTTATTGTTGTTGAAGCAAATACAAACGGTCGCCAACTATTTGGCCTTCCTAGAACGTGACTCATTCCCCTTGAAACTTGCCTTTTATGCACCGAGAAAGATATACCTTCTTCTTCAGAACTACAGTGAGATGTGGGCAAGCCAGCGTCAATCCCGAAATATGCACCAAAAAAAAAAAAAAAAA